TCCCCACTCCAGGCAGACAGTTCACACTCATGCAGACATCCTCCATTTAACTCTCGGATGGGTCCCCAAGATAAAGATGTGGAAACTGAGGCAGAAGAATTGAGACCCTGGGATCACTCAGCTGTTGTGTAAGATTGGAATATACTGACCTGAGAACCATGATAAGGATTTTGAAAGCAAAGAACAGGACGTTATGAGTGAGAATAAGAAGGAAGTCCATCTTTAGACAGACGGATAAGGGAAAGTTGCCTTGAGGAGTCCTGCGAGCTGAGATGTAAAGAAATCAGCAAAGCGCCAGATGAGGTGGCTCATGCCTGTAATCCCAGCACTGTGGGAGGCTGAGGCGGAAGGATCACCTGAGGTCAGGAGCTGGAGACCAGCCTGGCCAATACGGCAAAACTCCATCTCCACTAAAACTACAAAAATTAGCCAGGCAGGGTGGCATGTGCCTGTAGTCTCAGCTATTTGGGAGTCTGAGGCATGGGAATCACTTGAACCAGGGAGATGGAGGCTGCAGTGAGCTGAGATAATGCCATAGCACTCCAGCCTGGGCAAGAGAGCGACACTCTATCTCAAAAAAAAAAAAAAAAAAAAAAAAAAACAGAGAGAGAGAGAGAGAATGAGAGAACGAAAGAATGAAAGAGAAATCAGCAAAGTGAAGAACTGAGAAAACAAATTCTGATGAGAAGGAACAAGGAACAGTATGTGCAAAGGACCCATGCCAAGAAAAAATCTGACACACCTGAGGAACTAACACACACCAGATATGAGAGAGGAGAAGAAAAGGGGCCTGCAGAGGACACTGGATCATGCAGGTTCTTATAGGCCATGGCAAGGATTTCAGATTTCATCCTATGTGCCAGGGGAGGTCATCAGCAGGATTAAGTCCCAAAATGACATGGACTGATTTACCGGGACCAAGTATAGCATAGAGCTCGTCACACAAAGGGGATGGGCAAAAAGCTGTGGAACATCTGAATAAACAGACTCAAACTTGATTTCTAAGACGAGGAGAACTGCTGGCTTTACAGAAAGAAAAGCAAGATTTCAGCCTTTGCCTGTAAGAAGAACAAACAGTTTCACCTAATCCAAATTCGCTTTCATGCCTCTCTGCCTAAGCGGCACACAGAGCCGCTGAAATCCACAGGCACATCATGACAGAATAATTTCAGTGATCATTATCAAATGCCTCTATTTAGAAAAGCTCAGAAGATTGTATTAGCATGATCCAATATTTATGAAATGACACTCTGCCGTAATGAGGGGCTGAGAAAATTAAGATTAGAAGCAAAAGCCATGTCTTTGGGGACAGAGAGTAGCATGAGCAAAAAGACACACTTTTACTCAGCTTCTTAGAACTTGCTTTTCTGATCTGTAAAATGGGAAGGATAGTAACAAAGAGGAAAATACGTGATCAGTTAGTAGAGCACCTAAAGGTCTGTAATAATGTTTTTTTCATTCATTTCTTTGTTAATAAAAACACCTAATAAAGACTATTTGCCCATCCACACATCCATCCAACAAACTGCTAATTTAGTACATAGGATGTCTGATGTCCTGCATCAGACACTGAAGATAAAGTTGTGAACAAGATTCTCATGGTCCCCATTCACATGGAACTTCTCATCTGGGAGTAAAACATGCATTGGATGAACAACCCCTGCTGTGATGCGTGGTACTAAGGAAAAGTGCAAGGTGCAATGGGAACCATTACAAAGAGAGCTGACCCAGACTGAGACATGAAGAGGACGCACAAGACAGCGGGTGGGGGAAAGGCTCCATGGAGGATGCCAATCTTATGTGAGTTCCCGAGGCAGGAGAGAGTCAGAACATTCTGGCAATTGGCAGAAGCCAGTGTAAAGTGAGCACAGTGGGATGTAGAGCATCATGATGATTTGGAGGTTTAGGGAGGATCAGCCCTCAGAGCCTTGGAGTCCACAACAGGGCTTTGGTCTTTCCTGGAGCAATGAGAAGCTTCAGAAAGGCCTAAAACAGAAGCTGCGTAGAGACAAGGAAGAAAAGAAGTAACCTGAATATGCTTATATTCTAGAATAATCTCTCGGACATCTGTTTGGAGAATGTATTAAAGTCAAAAGAGTTAAGTCAAGGAGCCTGTTAGAAAGTTTTCCACTGACCCAGGAAACAGACAATGGCTGTGTTCACCAGGGCAGTGGTGGCACAGATGGAGAGGCTTGGGCAGACCCAAGATATACTTAGGCAGTAAAATGGCAGAGTGAAGCGATTGGCTGGAAACGCAGGTAAGAGAGAGAACAAAGAGAAACATGGCCCCCGGGTTTCTGAATCAGTACCAGTAGGGTGAAGTGAGCTTTCTGGAGTCAAGGAACAGTGGAAAGTGAGTAGACAGGGAAGGGGAAATGGGTAAATCAAGAGTTCGGTTTTGGAGATGTTGAGCTTGGACAGCCTACAACATGTTACAGGGCTTTAAGTGGACTAAAGATGAGGAGAAAGAGCATATATGAACACACACACCCCCATACACACACATATGCACACAAACACACACCTCCTGTACATCCCCCCCGACATGTACACTTCCATACACACAGACCCCCATATACATGCATACACACAGATACCCATATGCTCCCATACACATGCATACACACCCTCCATACACACACATACACCCCCATACACACACACCCATACACACACACCCATACATACACACCCATACACATGCACACCCACACCCCCATACACTCCCATACACACACCCATACACATGCACACATGCCCATACACACCCCTTACACCCCCATATGCACACACACATCCCCCACATACACACTCATAGACATGCATACACACATATACCAATATACCTCCATACACACACACCCCCAATACACAGGCATGCACACACAACACACCCATACACCCCCATACACACACACACACACCCATACACATGCACACACACCCTCCATAAATGCACACCCATACACATACACCCTTACACTCCCATATGCAGACACATATACACCCCCATACACACACACACCCATAGACATGCATACGCACATACACCAATACACCTCCATACACATACACACACATACCTATACCAGTAGAGGCATGCACACACACCACACCCATACACCCCCATACACACACACCCACATCCCCATACACACACACACACACACATGTATACACACACGTATACACACTATAACATCCAGGTTTATTTGGCCACTATCAAAGAGGGCCATGAAGAGTAGAGCAGATGTTATACGTTTAAGCAGAGGTGTCTTGGATTCTTGGGGTGCCTAATGGGGTGGGTGATTCTACCATCTAACTAGGCAGTACTTTTGATAAAGTCAGCATGATTGGGCGACAGAGGTTGTTCCACACTGTCTTACTAATAGGCACGCACACGCACACACCTGTTGATGACTTTGCTCATTCAAAGTAAGGTCCCACCAGATCTAAAATGCTCAATTTTGTACCACAGCCCAACCTTGTTATACCTAAGGCTTGTAACAACACTTGTGAGAAATTTACACAATTAATGCCCTTAATAGGAGCTATCCATAACCATCCAGTGCCTCCTGCTTTGCAGCCAGACTCAAAGTGAATGAGGTCACACCCTCACCCTCACCTGGGCATCTCTGAGCATCTTCTTTGCTCCCAGTTGAGTGGCATCCTGGAAAACCCCATTCTCCAGAGGTAGCCAAGATGACATGGCAGCTGGCAGTGGGCTGTGTAGGTGTAAAATTCCTAAGAGACATCTAGGCTGGAGGCATAAATGTCAGAATCACCAGCACAGAGGTGGTATCTGAAGCCATGGGAGTGGTTGAGGCCAGCCATGGAAAGAACACCGAGTAAGCCTGAAAGAACTCTTAAGACTCCATGGCCAGAGTGCACTGACAGGGGAGACTGAGAAAGAACACCTGGGGGACTGGTGAAAACCAAGACAGGTGTGGGTTAAAGCAAGGGAGCCTTTGGTCAGGGAGAAACTGTAGAAAATGGCCTCCCTTCTCCAACAAGCAGTTGTCTTTACAACTGTAGCCGGGATATGTGATTATTCAGAGAAGTGAGCTTCACTTTCTCAGAGTGGCAACTCTTCCTGGCTTCTATCACCAGGTGAGCCTCTTCAAGGTGCACCTTACGCAGGTATAACCCACATTTCGAGTCTAAGTGTTCTCTCTGAGTAGACCTCCTTCAGGTACTTCCCCTGAAACACATCAGGTGTAATCACAGGCCTGCCCCATGCAGGTATCCATTAAGAATTCACACTAGGTCTTCAGCCCCACCAGTTAAGGATAAAAGGTTGATATTTAGAATGTCAGGATGTTAACCTTATAATATATAATAATAATATAGTAATATGTAATATGTTATATAATAATATAACCTTATAAAAATCTGTGGAAGTATCCCTAAATATATATGTAAATGATATAATATATACTACATAATGTATATAATATAATGTGTAATATATAATATAAACTTATAATAATCTGTAGAAGTCTCCCTAAATATATAAAATATATGTAAATAATATAACACATAATAATAGATAACAATATGATAATATATAATAATAATAATAATAAAATTAATACAACCTTATAATAGTCTGACTGTTGAAGTTTCCTATATACACCCTATGTCTATGTGGTCTGGAAGAAGAGGAGTGACCTCAAATTCTTCAGAAGCTCTTTCTTTCCCTGACATGCCACTATCATCAGGCTCCTAAGCAAAACCCAGTGATACCCTACTTGTAGCTAAAGCTTAGAATCTCAAAGCTAAAAGAAATGCTGAATCCAGGTGACATGTGACTAGTACCAAATCCTGAAGAATTCATTCAGTCTTGGCTTGAACACCTCTTGAGTGTGGGGAACTCACTACCTACAGAGCTATCAATTGCCATCTCAGAGCACTCTATGTGTAAGTGAGTTCTTCTCTCCATGATTCATGATAAAATCTAGCCATCCCCATTACAGCCCCAAACATGATGGATCTCATACCTGTGGGCACCGCCTGGTCCAGCATTGGTTTCTCCCATGTGTTAATCTGCTCCCAGGTGAACCCATTGGTCCCTAGAGCCACACTATAACCACAGTTGCTGTAGTGCTCATCAAAGGAACAGCCACCTGCAGACAAAAGAGATAGGGGTAAATACATTCCTGTGTCTGAGGCTTGGTTCATTACCTCTGTCTCGTCGGCTCTTCATTTACAGCTTTGAATTTTAAACTCGGAAGATTTTCTTTATATATACATATATATATGTATATATGGACGAGCAAATTGGATTTTTATATTTGCTTTGGTGCTCTCAGGAAAGGCACTGGCATCTGCAGGCCCCCGTATTTAGAAAAGTTAATAAGGCTAGTTACATTGATTTTAATCTTCCTTCCTGAGAAAGTAAACAGCAGCGTGTTATTCTAAGTAGGAAAAATGAATGCCGGGGCATGCCTCCGTAATTGCTTTGTGCAGCACGGAGAGAGGCTGTGAGGCAGCAGAAGGAGCACTCACTTCCGAGTCTGGCAAAACTAGACAGCCATCACCTTCACAAGGTTGCGTGAGTTCAGGCCAGATGCTTCATACCTGAGCGTCTCCGTTTCCTCACCTGTGATACAGAGGGAAATGTCCAACCTTACAGAAATACATGAGGATTAAACGGAATAACATGCGAAAAGTAACTGCCACAGAATACTTTCTCAATGCCCACCTGTTTCTCTGTGAAAAGCAGTCTGAAAAATCATTTTTCATGGTGTGAGAATTGAATTGGTAAGAAAGTAGACAATCATGCACCTGGAAGATAATAAAGTCAATGTTGATCATGTTTGAAGCTTCTCCCTTTAACTTTAAAGGTCAAGCCATCCACCATTTGACAATAAGTTATATTCATTTGCTGTTGACAAGGATTCACTGAGCATATGCTCTGGGCTGTAAGTCCCATCAAGGTGACATTGAGAGACATGTGGGGTGTACAGTGGAGGCTCCAACTAGGAAACGCTGGTTTGTCCAGAGAAATAGGATCCCCTTATATTCTGAAGGAGAAAGCAGAAGAAGTGGAGGAGAAGTGAATAGGGCTTTGAAGGGTAGGGGCATCTCCAAGGGCAGAGGGCAGGACGAATGGCATTCTGAGTTGAGCCTGCAGGGGACACAAATGCAGGGAGGTAGCACTGGGACTGAGTTCTACAGCAGCTCCTGGCTGGTCTCCCAGACCTGTTTCACACTCCAATCCATCTTTTCTAATGCTCCTTTCTTGACTCCTTAATGTTCAGAGGGTGCATCACATCACCATCTTCCTCCTTTAAACACTCATAGGTTTCCCACCCCACAGAGAACCAATGTCTGTTACAGATTAAATGTCTGAAAGCCCACAAAATTCATTTCAACCCCCAAAGTGACAGTATTAGGACACATGGCCTTTGGGAGGTGATGAGGACATGAAGGCAGAGTCCATGTGATTGGGACTGGGACTGGGACTAGTGCCCTTATAAAGAGACCACAGAGAGTTATCTCACCCCTTCCACCATGTGAGGACACAAGGAGAAGCTGCCATCAAAGAAGCAGGAGCTGGACCCTCACCAGATGCTGAATCTGCCAGCGTCTCGATCTTATACCTCCTAGTGCCCAGGACTGGGAGAAATCCATTTCTGCTGTTTCTAAGCCACTCAGTCACGGTATTTTGTTATAGCAGCCGAAATGGACTAAGAAAATAACCAAACATGGCTTTATTCAATTCATCCCACACTAGCCTGGCCCATGTCTGTAGGCTCATTAACATCACACAATTGCCTCCATCAGCTGAAAAGAACCAAATTCTTTCTCTGCACCCCAGACCTGAGATTTCCTCTGGATAAGCAGCAGTGGTGGACATCCTGTTGACGAATTTGAGATCTAATACAGTCCAAACACCATGGAAGAAAACCTGTAATAGAAAACACTTTCTCCACTTTCCTTTCCTGTTGGATATGGACACCCAGAAGAGCTGGATTTCAGCAACTACTATGGTCCAAATGTGTGTGTTGCCCTGAAATTCATATGCCGAAACCTAATCCCCAATGTAATAGTATCAAGAAGTGGAGCCTTTGAGAGATGCTTCCAAAGGATTGTGAGGGCTCTGTTCTCAGGAATGACATCATGCCCGGATAAAAGATGCCCTAGGCAGATTGTTCACTCCTTCTGCCATGTGAGGACTCATAGAAGGTGACATCTATAAGGAATGGACCTTTACCAGGTACCAAATCTGCTATCACCTTGATCTTGAACTTGCCAGCCCTCAGAACGATGAGCAATAACTTTCTATTGTTTAAATAACCCAGTCTAAGGCATTTTGTTGTAGCAGCCAAAATGGATTAAGACAGCATCCCAGTAAGTATCTCCACTCTGTAGAGGAAAGCCACCCAGAGAATCACCTGACCAGGAATATTAGCATTCAACTTTTCAGGAGCAAAATATAAACTTTGCTTGCCATATGCCACTGAGATCTTAGGGTTTAATTGTTAGCACCATAGAGCTTTGTACAATCTGACTAATATATGAAGTGTGTCATACCTCAACACAGTGATCTAAAGAAAGAAAGCAGCAGCATATTCTCCCAAGGACTTGCTCTGTGTCAGGCAATATATTCGACACTGATTATATACGCTATCTCATTAGTTTTCACGTAATCCTCACAAATCATGTGAGGTACATTTTATCTCAACTTTAAATCTAAGGGAATTGATGCACTGGGGGGATAAATGACCTGCTCAGACAACATGGAAGGAAAGTGTTGGAGCCAATATTAAATCCATGGTAACATAGCTGTAGAGCCCATGCCCATTCTAACAGACCAGAGAGAGAATTATTCCCCTAAACTAAGGACAAGGTCTTTCACTTATAAGGTAATGAGAGGGACCAGGCAGATAAAGAACTTCCAAGGTGGTTGGGAATCTCCATTCAAATCTACTCCTTCACTTATTCTAGAAACATTCAACAAAGTTTTTTTTAATGGGCTCAGGACATGGCACAGAATTGATAGATATGATCCTTACCCTCACAAAGTTTGCAGAATAGACTGAAAGATAAGCATGCAAATATACACTGAAGATGCAATGGAAAATATGCTTTCCATTGCAAGCATATTTGATGCTAAAAAAAAAGAGTTATTATTTTAGTTGATGGTTTAGTTAACCAAATTATCTTCCTTCTTCTAGATAAGATTTAAGAGGGCTCACAGCTATACCTCTAGGCATCGCAGGTTACAGATCCCAGGCAAGGTCACATTAATAATTGCCTCTAGTCCGTTGGATCCATTGCTCACCCCTCACCTCCCTGCCTCTGCTTAACTGTAGGTAGACTGCTCAGCTGATCCTGAGCTTACTGCTGACAGGTCCTGGCCCTCTAAGGACTAGGGATGTACCTTCTCTTCACAGCCACTCACTGAACCACCTTGCTTCTCCCCTCTGCTGAGCTCTGTTGGTCACTTCAATCTGCAGCAGGTAAGCAAATGCTTTTCCCTTCTTACAGTCTGTTCTTTGAAACTAGGGTTCCACAGCAGCAGGCCTTGGACCCCAGTGACCCAATTTTTATTTTCAAACCACAGTCCTTTCTTTGCCTCTGCAGAAGAGCTCACTTAGAGTGAATTTAAAAGCAGCTATGCACTCTATCTTGAGCCACTATTTCTTCAGAATATTCAGGCCCCACTGTCAATTCTATTCCACTCTGCCAGGATTTGTCATCACTTATGGGATGACATATGCATTCAGGACAGAAAATGGGGACCTTAAGGTCACTTATGGGGACCTTCATGTCCCTCCTACAGAAGAGTTTCTAGAAACAGGCTCCGGTTCCGCACTTTTATCACTCATACACGTCTGAATCCCAGCAACACACAGTTGGTGATTTTTCCATGGAGCCCCTGGGCTCCCAGGAAAGCAGAGAATTTCAAGAAATGCTGCCTAACTGGTCACTGGTCCAACCAAAGCAGCAGGTTAAACACAGAAGCAGGAAATACTGCATGATGACAAAAATCAAATTGAGGACAGGAAAAGAAAGAAAAGCAGGACAGAAGGAGGGAGCCACAAATCTATGCTGCGATTTTCCACGTGTTCCTCTACTTAAAGGGGGTTACATATTTAACTTGGAGCTTCTGACACCCAATAGAAAAAAAGCAAAACCTGGGGAGGTACTGGAAACTCTGTGTTTATATAATAAAAGCCAAATTGCTCAGGGAAATGATAACCATTTCAGGTGCTTGGATCAGACAAGAACTTCTCTGCAGGAATACTCATAACAGAAACCCCATATCCCATAATGAAACAACATCCACACAAGGGGGTGAATGGCCAATTTCATGAGACTGTTTCTCATAATCATTCTCAATATAAATTGATAGCATCACCTAAACATACAATTCAGTAAAACTCATTGGGGTCCAACGCAATGCAGTCTGGATACCCGCTCCCTATTGGTCTGACTTGACTCAAAGGTAAGTTTTAAGAACTATTCAGGGGAGAAAATATACCTAATATGTATTTCTAGGCAACCTTTCTTAGTTTTCTGTCTCCCACATTGATAAATAGAGTAGCTATGAACTCAAGTCTATATAACCCAGTAGCAACTGACACTGCCATCTGGGTACAAACTCTTGGGCTCACATCCCTTCCCTTTTTTTGAGCCTTCATTTTCTGCTGTGCAAGGCAAGGGGCTGAACAAGATAATTGCAATGAACCTTCCACTTGTAACAATGAAGAATTCCAGAGATTCAGAAAGAACCGGAACTCTCAGGAACCACAGAGATACAGACCCATGCAGTCAGCACAAGTACCCGCTAGGGTGCCATGCCACTGAGAACCACCAAGAGGAGGAGGAGAAATTAAAACCAAGCTTCCCCTAGACCAAGAACAGAAAACATTTAAACCCAGTAACATCTATCTGTCTTGGCGCAATTCCTAATGGCCATAACACCTGATACACACACAAAGGCCCCAAACATTGCTGCAGGTGTTTATGGCAGACTACTTAGGGGATATTTATGGTTCCAGAGAGTCCCTGATATGGTTTGGCTGTGTCCCCACTCAAATCTCATCCTGAATTGTAGCTCCCATAATTCCCACGTGTTGTGGGAGGGGCCTGGTGGGAGAAAATTGAATCATAG